GGGTTTTTTTTTTTAAGTTTTTTTATTTTTTTTTTTTTTTTTTTTTTTTTTACATTTATACCACTAAATTTTTTATGCATAAAAATATTTCTATTTTATTTTTTAAAAAAGTAAAATATATATTTAAAACCTAATAAAGTAAAATATCAAGAGTAAATTATCATTGTTTGATAAAGGTCTTGAGGCGTGAAACGAATTTTGAGATATTTTTTTGAGCAAAAAAAACTTTCAAATAGTGATTAAAAATCATCTAGAACTTTCATTTTAAGAAGCTTACAGTAAAACTGGCCGGCTTGACTAGACGAAGGCGATAGCACTAACATTGACCCAAGCCGAGTCAAATCAAGCCTAGATCGAACTATTAAACTATTTTTGAAAGTTTATAGCCTTCATTGGAAGGTTAAATTAATTTCAATTCTGACAAGGATACATTCAAATCAAGCGTCTCAAAGAGAGAAATCCAACGAGGCCAAGATTATTCAATTATAACACCATTAAGGAATTAAAATGTTCGCAGAATGTTGTCCAATCAAAGGGATCTCTTCTGATCATCTGATGGAGTGGTAAAAATCATGTCCTTATTTGTCAGGAGAGCTCTTCTAGACTCTAAAAATATATTACTATCCCCTTCATGAAATGAGACTTAAGTCTTGGATTGGAGGAAGCACAGAGCTTGGAAGAGAAGGAGCTAAATTTCAGTATATTTTTGGACCGAAGACCCGACGAACGCTTCTAGCTTGTGCAACTGACGACCGCCGTCAATCACACCTTGCCAACCACATGCAACCATCATCAACTGCTCTGTGTTCATTGCAATCATGTCCCTTATAATATCACGATGTACTGTGCAAAATCCCAATGTATGTTGCACAATAATAAAGCACCTTATAGAGCACCTCAAAAACGGTATAATGACGCACCCTGAGGACAGTGTAAAAACAAACTCGAATACTGTCTAATGATTGGAATGTGATTAGTTATTATGGTGTTCTCTATAGAATTTTTATAATGTGGCTAATACATCGATTTTATGTGAGGAACCAACAGTTGTTTAATAAACAGATTGAGCCCAAAATCTTTGTTGTATAGTTTATATAAAGAATAAAGTAGGGTTGAAGCATAGTTTGGTACATTTTCTGGACCCTAATGACTATCTACTCATGATTGGCACCTGAACCTTGCCCCTTGATTTTTGGGAAAGAAAATAGAGATATGCCCCAACTATCACTCTTTCTACGTGCCCTGCATATGATGCAATCATGTGCCCCACATACGATACAGCTACGCACCCCACGTATAGTACATTAACGACTCCCGAAGATTGTGTAACAACGAACCCTGCAATAACTGCTTATAACAATCTTACTAAGGATATGACAACTTTCTTCGGACTCCTGAAGCTCTCCCTATAACTCATTACCTATGACTTACGTGACTATGGCATACAAACTTTATCACAACTCATATTGCCCCAAACTCTAATCTCTGCGGCCTACAGACATTTTCACATCACATTTAGCTCCCAACTCCGACCTCTATAGCCTATGGAAGTTATCACAGCTCATGTAGCTCCCAATTTCAGCCTTTGTGGCATACAAATGATATCACATCTTATGTGGTTCTTAACTAAGACCTCTATGCCCTACAAACTTTTTTACAGCTCCCTGACAACCTACTTGGCTCATAACTCAGTAACTCCCAGCTCCGGCCACTACCTTACAAACAAAATTATAGCTCTCTACTATGGCCTTTGTGACCAACTGACTCCTGAAGCAATCATCTACGACCCACATGACCAACTACCACCGTGACTTTTAACTATAGCCTCTATAACAAGCTAACACTACAACCACAATCTATAGTATGGCCTTTGTGACTAACTGACACTCCTGAAGTAATCATCTACGACCCACATGACCAGCTACCACCGTGACTTTTAACTATAGTCTCTATAACAAGCTAACACTACAACCACAATCTATAACATTCATGATGGATTACCACATCTATAATAATAGACTGGCATTTATAGTCTGTTGTTACTACTATTATTGATAAAATATCGTTGTAGATCCACTTTTTTAATTCCATTTTTCCTAACTTAAAGAAAATTGGGTTTGAGTACTCATCATTACATAGTGTATTATTTCAATTGCACTAGACCCCATGGTTTTTCCCCCTCTTCATTAATTTAGCATGCCAGCAAGATTTTGATATTATACAACACTCAGCAACGTTGCATGCGTCGGTGAGTCCAATCGAACTGAGTTTTTCTATCTTTCTTGGAAGTTAATCAAAAATATGTGTTTGAAAAGTATGATGCAAAAAAATTGAGACTGGCTGTGATGTGTAAAGTGAAATAAAACAAGTCCAAACTAAAATTGAGAAAATGAAAATAGAAATAGAAATGAAATATAAAATAATTCAAGGATTGCACAAGGCCAAAATAATTATTTTAATTATGTTTTATTTTTATTTTATTTTATTTATAGAGAGAAATGCAACTTATGTTATTATTTGTTTTGTAATCATTTGAGCATATATATTTTCATTAAATTATTGGTTGTAAAATTAAAAACAAATAAATTAAACAATAATTTTTTTGCTCTTATATAACTAAATTTTTTTTATCTAATTTTTTATATTGTTTTAATTCAAACAAGTTTAAATTAAGCCCACCGAACATTCCTGACTAAATTTTAAACATGAATCAATTTTCAACAAAATTAATTTTAAACTGAACACAAACCAAGCCAAAAATTTGCTCAAGCTAAGCTCATTTACAGCCCAAACTCATCTGGTCTCAACGGCCTCCCCTAATTTAATAATCCAAAGAGAAATTTGCATACATGCCCCCAAATTCTTTGGTATTTTACATATCTAACACCTAAACTTTGATATTTACATTTATAGTAAATAGTAGAATTAAGGGAAAGA